AGAGTCATCAGCTCTTTACATTCCGTCATTTCCTTTTCAACTTCTATCAATAGGAGCCATCACCAATTCTCTAAACTGTCTAGCTATTTTTTCTCCCCACAATGTTGTTTTTCAGGACATCATCACCAAGAGAACGATTGGTGAAGGTTTCTTTATGAATGGTCTTTACTACTTAGCTAAAGATACTAAGGATCCCAAGGTTTTTCAAGTCAGTTCAAGTGTGTCTCAAGATCAACAACTTTGGCATCAACGTTTGGCTCATCCTTCTGAAAAAGTGATGTCTTTCTTATTCCCAAAATTGTGCAAAGACAAGTTGCACTGTGATGTTTTTCATTTGTCTAAATTTTCCAGGTTGCATTTTGAGTCTTCCAACAATAAAGCCAGTCATCCGTTTGAAATCATTCATTCAGATATTTGGGGTCCAATACTAGAGTCATTTGATGGATATAGATATTTTGTAACCTTTGTTGATGATTTCACAAAAATGACTTGGTTGTATCTTTTGAAATTTAAGAGTGAACTTTTAATTGTTTTTCAAGATTTTCATAAACTGGTTGGCACTCAATTTGCATAAAAAATTCATATATTAAGATCCGACAATGGCACTGAGTATATGTCCCATAACATGTCTCAATACTTAAGTATTCATGGCATCTTGCATCAAATAACATGTGTTGGCACACCTCAACAAAATGGAGTGGCCGAAAGAAAAAATAGAGATATTCTTGAGAAGACAAGATCAATCATGTTTCATATGAATGTACCCAAGAAATTTTGGTCACAAGGAGTACTTACAGCTGCCTATCTTATTAATAGATTGCCTAGCAAAATACTCAGTTTCAAGTCCCCATTTGAGATGCTAAAAGGCAGAAAAATTGATCTTTCACACTTGAGAGTTTTTGGCTCCACCTGCTTTGTTCACAACAAATCCCCTCATCATGATAAATTAGATCCTAGAGCGATCAAATGTATTTTCTTGGGTTACTCATCCACTTAAAAAGGCTATAAGTGTTACAATCCAATCACAAATAAGCTTCTAGTTTCAAGGGATGTAAGGTTTAATGAAAATATGTCCTACTTCTCAAAGAAACTAAGTGATACAGATCAGGGGGAGTTTTTTAGTGATATGTTTCCATTGCCTATTGTCCCGTACTACCAAGAAAATCCTCCATCATGTGACACTACAAGTCCATCACCTGAACATGTTCCCTCCCAAGTCACAAATGTTGAGCATCCAGTCCAGATTCGTCGAAACCCTTCTAGGGTTCGTCAACCCCCACTTCGACTACATGATTATGTCACCTACCTCTAGGTATCCTCTCACAAATTTTGTTTCCTATAAGCAGTTTTCACCCTCTCATATCTCATTTCTTAGTGCCTTGGATCATACTCATGAACCACAAACATTTCAAGAAGCAAGTAAACATAAAGTTTGGCAAACTGCAATGAGGGACGAACTGCAAGCTCTTTATGAAAACAAAACCTGGAGTGTAATTAAACTTCCCACAGGGAAGAAAGCAGTGGGTAGCCGTTGGGTGTACAAGACAAAGTTCAACTCAGATGGGACTATTGAAAGACACAAAGCTCGTTTAGTGGCTCGTGGTTTTACTCAGACTTATGGCTTGGATTACAAGGAAACCTTTGCTCCCGTAGCCAAAATGAACACTGTAAGGGTTCTCTTGTCAGTTGATGTGAATCAATCTTGGCCTCTCTATCAAATGGATGTGAAGAATGCTTTTTTGCATGGGGAATTAGAGGAGGAAGTGTACATGAAACTACCACCAGGGCATCCTCAATCGAGCGATCCTGACATGGTTTGTAAACTGCACAAATCTATTTATGGTCTGAAACAGTCTCCACGTGCCTGGTATGCAAAACTAAGCTCAGTCCTTGAAGAGTTTGGCTTCCAAAGAAGCAGTGCAGATTCTTCCCTATTTGTTTGTAATGGCTCAGTTGGAAAAGTCGTTGTTTTAATCTATGTAGATGATCTCATAGTGATAGGTGACAGTGATGCAGAAATCCAATCTCTCAAGCTTGCTCTTCGAAACAAATTTGCAATTAAGGATTTGGGGCGCCTCAAATATTTCCTTGGTATTGAACTTGCGACTTCACATCAAGGTCTCTTTCTCAATCAAAGAAAATATATCCTTGATCTCTTGCAGGAATCTAACTTAATGGATTGCAAACCTGCACGCACTCCTCTGGATAGTAAGCTGCAACTCACTACTCATAGTGAAGTTCTTTCCAATGTTACTGCATATTAAAGATTGGTAGGAAAACTTATTTATCTCACAATCATGCAGCCAGATATCTCCTATGCTGTGAGTATTGTGAGTCAGTTTATGCATGCTCCTACATCAGTTCATATGCAGATTGTGAAGAGAATTCTTCGTTATCTAAAAGCGTCTGTTGGTCGCGGGATCCTTATGACAAAGAATGACAGCATTGCCATCATGGGTTACACAGATGCTGATTGGGCTGGGCACTCTCTTGATCGCAAATCAACCACATGTTTTTGTACCTTTGTAGGTGGGAACTTGGTAACATGGCGCAGCAAGAAGCAAAGCGTTGTAGCTCGTTCCAGTGCAGAGGCCGAGTATCGAGCTATGGCATCCACTGCTTGTGAACTTATTTGGCTAAAAAGTCTTCTGTTTGATTTAGGGTTTCACAGTAAGGAACCTATATCTATGTTCTGTGACAATTAAGCTGCCATGCATATTGCTTCCAATCCTGTATTTCACAAGCGAACGAAGCATATTGAAGTGGATTGTCATTATGTTCGAGCACAGGTTCAAGCCAACATCATCAACACTCATTACACTCGCAGTCATGATCAATTGGCTGACATTTTTACTAAACCTCTTCCTACGGCTCAGTTCATGCGCATTCTGTCCAAGCTTGGCTCAAGGAATCCCCTCGATCCAGCTTGAGGGGGAGTGTTGGAATGCATGCAAGTCATATCTTTTGTTAAAATGCATGCATGAAATAAACATGTTGGATGACTAGTGAAGTTAGGCTAGTCAACATTCTTTGTGTAAATTAGGCAAGTTAGGAAATTAGGCAAGTTAGGCAAGTTAGGCTTATGTCTACTTTCTTTTCCTATATATATGTTTCATTTGTAATTGTTTCTTCATGAAATACACATCAAAAATTCAACATTTTGATTGATCATTCGGGGGTGACAAATCATATGATTTGTGATCCCGGATTAATCGAAGATCTTCACACATCCACTCAATATGTGGTGTCTAACGCGAATGGTAACCCTTCCCGGGTAATCGGGGAGGGCTTTATTTCTCTTACAGATTCAATGATTGCAGATTCAGTTTTAGGTGTTCCCCAGTGGATTATAGCTTATTATTTATTATCTGTTGGACAGAATTCTGATACCCTATACTGTGCTATAACTTTTTGGCCAAAACATTGTTTTTCCAGGCGATTCTCACATGGAACATAATTGGTATGGTACTAGGAAGGGTAAGCTCTACTACTTGGACATGACCACAAACAAAAGTTGATGAGTTGGGTCAAGCGTTCAAGATGAATACTGCATCTGAGAAACAAAGATTAGAAGTTTGGTTTTGGCATCAAAGTTTATGCCATGCGTCTTTTGGATATATTAGAAAGTTATTTCCTTCGTTATCTTATAGTTTTAGTGAATCGAGTTTCAAATGTGATGTTTGTGAACTTGCAAAAAACCATCGGGTTTCATTCCCTTCAAGTATGATAAAAGTGACCCACCGTTTATGATCATTCATTCCGATCTACTTCTACTAGTGCTAGATGGTTTGTTTCTTTTATAGATAATTGCACACATATGACTTGGATGTGTCTTATGAAATCTAAAAGTGAATTGTGATCTATGTTCCAGCAGTTCCACAAAATGGTGGAAACCCAGTTTGATACTAAAATTAAGATTTGTCATTCAAATAATGGAGGAGAATCTGTTAATTATGAGCTTCAAAAGTTTTTCACAGGATAATGGTATTGAACACCAATGCTCATGTCCTTATACTCCGTAACAAAATGGAGTAGAAAGAACCAACACTTACTGAAAGTTGTTTGTGCCTGTCATTTTGGAGCTCACTTGCCTTGATCTTTATTGGGGAGACTGTCTGCTCCGCTGCATATCTTATCAACCTAGTTCCCTCCGGTGTTCTACAGTTTCAAACACCACTCCAAACTGTCACTCATCGTAGCAAGTTACCTTCCACCTCCAAATCTGTACCATGTGTTTGGATGTGTGGTGTTTGTTCATGTTCCTAAGAGCAACCGAGTAAACTGGATCCATGTGCTTTGAAGTGTGTTTTTCTTGGATACGCTCTACATAAAAAAAGGAGGAATTAATCATTGGTGCTCCCCCACAGTGGAATTTGCCTCTTCTTTGCTCCCTGCCTCTGAGCATTAGTAAGCCAAAGGATAGATTGATCTGGCATTTCAACTTGAAGGGACTTTTCACTGTTAAGAGTGCTTATTATGTTGCTCTCAGTTGGATAGGAGAGTCTAATGATGTAGCTTCTTCTTCCATCAATCCAAATCCTTGTGAAGTTCTGTGGAAAAAATCTATGGGAAGCAAGGGTGATATGCATGGAGAATCTGATGAGGTATCATTCCTAGTAGGGAGAATTTGGTGAAAAGACATGTTGGGACGGATCGCTTTTATGTACTCTGGTTTTCAAGGATAAACAGCCCTTCACCTTATGAAGGATTATCCCTATGCTATTTGTGGATGGATTTCGACGCCACTTGGATACCCTGACAGAGGAGTGCAATTGAACTCGATGGCAGATGGGCACTTCGCTTGGCCTCAAAGCTAAGTTGGGCAAATTTCAACCTCTGCTGGTGGTTTGGTGGCCAGTTTGGGGCTCCAGGATGACGTCCTATGGAATGCTAAGATGGTGCGACCAGTATCTCCATCTCTCGAGCCATTAGCTGGTGGCAGAACAACGTAAGTTTTCTTCTCACATGGAATCTGCTAGTGTAAGAGGCTGGGAGATCTGTAAGTGAGAACCACTCCATGCAGGCCATCTAAAAATTAATACTGACGCGTCTAATATACATAATTTGATCACATATTACACACACTTAAGTAAACAACACAACAAATATTGCACACTTTTTCTCTCAGAAAAGAGTAAACAATAACCTTACAATTAAGTAAACAACACAACAATATTGCACACTTTCTCTCTGGAAAGAGAAGGAAGCACCCAGAAAGAGAACGAGGGATGGAAAGAATGGACAAAGTGTATAAATGAGAGAGAGAGAGAGAGAGAGAGAGAGAGAGAGGTTAAAGAACGCTGCAGATGCTCAATTTCCTCTTTTGCTTCTCGGACTTTGGAGGATAGAGAGCCAACTTGATAGCTGCGTCAAAAACAGTCTTCACATTCTGCAATTTTTAACAATAATTTTTCAACTCATCAGCACAAGCCACAAGACCTAGTGACAGATTACTAGGGTCGATTTCAATTTAGTACCATACGTTTTGCACCAAAGAGCACCGTTTATACACGGTTCCAATTTGGACACTTCAGGACCCTTACTCCGCGAGTCAACAATGGGTCCAAATTATTACCATGTGTATAGACATGAACTTCGGTGCAAATTTCGGAGTAATATACTGAAATTAATCCTTAGGTTCCTGAAGAAGTTCCTCAAGAAGACCATGTATTGACTTGAACATAAAAGAACCACATTTTTCTTTCCATGTTTATCTTCTGTGAATTTCATGAGCGCGCGCGCGCACACACACACATATATATATTTGTGAGACCTACATGCTGTTTCTTTGAGCTGCACTCTATATACGATACAGCACCTATCCGCTTCTTCAAATCTTCACCCTAAAATATTAGAAAAAATGCAGAAGAATAATTAAATCAGATTAAATTAGATTAATGCAATTCCTTAGCAATGACACAAACAGCATTAAAAAGGACCAAAGTAGCTGAAAGTGGAAATCTACCTGTTGTGTAGAGATGGTACCTGCCCCGGGGTAATCCATTAGGAATTGTTTGTCTTCCCTCAGATCTGCTCTAGCAAATAAACCATAAGTAGTTGAAAAACAGCAAAAGACATAAACACATAGAAATTCAAAAAACATGAGCTGCTCCGCTGCGTTCAAATTTTAACCTTTAGGGCTCTTCAACGAATAAACCTCTCAAAAGTTTATTTCATGGCAAAAAACGCTTAACACTGTTTCGAGAAAAATACTCCTGGACTCAGCTGGACTCGACATATACAGCATTCTCCATTATTTAGAGCATAGAGAAATTTATAAACGAAAAAGAAACATAAACTAGATCACTCCAATTTGCAGAGGTAGCAATTGGTAGTGGAAAGAATGGATTACCTAATTTCGTCCCTACAAGAATGATAGGCACTGATGGGGCATAATGTCTTAGCTCAGGGATCCACTTCTCCACCATAACAAGAGGAGAAAAGAAAAAGAAAAAGAAAAAGGAGAGACAGAAAACAAGAATCCGATTAATATATACATTTGGTACATGCAATTTAGAAAAAGTGAATCTTAAGATGAATTTTATAGCTAAAGTAGAGAAAAAAGAAACTCACTTTCTTTGATATGTTCTCATAGCTAGGCCTACTTATGAGGGAAAAGGCAAGAAGGAACACATCAGCTCCTCTGTAACTAAGAGGCCTCAATCTGTTGTAATCTTCTTGACCTGCAAAATTAATTCACACAGATAGAACATCATATATATATATATATATATATATAACTTGGAAAAGCTTAATTCTGATTTTCTTTGTTTGTTACAGGCATTTTTTTCTCAAATATATGTATAACATTTCAGTTTTTCTGTTTTCATGGAACCTGACTTGCCGAATCTGAAAGACCCTTTTAGGATCTCATACGGTAATGCTCGTTCACTCCACCTTTTTCTCTTTACAAAAAGCTTGGCATCACACATTTCGCTAATTTTAATTCTTTTAAACAACTCTACTTTTGCAAGCGGCTATCAACATTTACGAGGTAAGAGCATTTACCCCAACATTCGAGGTCCTAAGTTCGGTTCTCTCCTCCTAGCTTGTATAAAAAAAAAAACTCCAATTTCAAAGAATTGGCATTCATATCCTACTTACTAGGATGAAATCTTTACAATTTATTCTTTGTTTTATTGTGAAGAACATATGGTTCATGGATGCAGACTGAAAAATGATGCTGACAGATATATAGGGTTTAGATAGTTTGTTCGTTTTAGTGGCATGAAGCTGAAAGATGCAGTCTTAAGCCGTTTAAACTAAACTAAAATGAATTATCAGATACCTTTGTGATGCTAAAATCAAACAAAAGTACCAATAATTGTCATAAAAAAAATTGGCAGAAAACTGAATTACAAGCTAGCAACCAAAGTTTAAAATTCCCATTCAGCATGCAAAATATACATGCGAGAGAGAGAGAGAGAGAGAGAGAGAGAGAGAGAGAGAGAAAGAACCAGCAGTATCCCAGAGACCCAAATTTACAGTCTGCCCATCAAGCAAAACGTTGGCACTGAAGTTGTCAAAAACAGTTGGAACATAATCCTGTTAATTACAAAGAAAGATCATGTATGACTGTTGAGAAAACAAGAAGATAGTGGGAAACAAATATGAAAAATTCAATGAAAATGACAGAAAGGAAAAAAAAAGAGGCATAAAGGGGTTGAAGCTAAGAAAATATATACAGTAGGGAAAGTGTTGCTAGTGTAGGAGATGAGAAGGCATGTCTTTCCAACAGCACCATCTCCAACTGTCACACATTTGATGAACTTTGATGTTGATGCTGCTGGAGCTGCTGCACCTGCTGCTGTTGTTCTAGCATTAGCATTAGCATTAGCCATATGCCTGGCTAGCTACACGTGTGCTTAAATTAAAGTGACAAAATGATTAAAACTCTATCTCTATATCACTCTCAAATGTTTTTCTTGGAGAAAATCAAGAATACAATTGAGAGAAGCCTCAGTGTTTCTCTTTCATTATGAAGGTTGTTAGAGAGAGAGAGAGAGAGAGACTTGCAACAAAAGTTTTCTTAGAGCTTTTTGAGAGGAAGGGAAAGATGGTTTGATTATGAGATCACTTTAATTTGAGCTGTCATAGAGGCAAAGGGAGGCAAAGGAAAGGAAAGGCAAACCCACATTGGAAATAGTCATAATCTTAATACTTGTGTCTCCCTCATGGAGGAGCTTACTTGTCTCCCCACCTCTTGAGATTAACTTAGCTTTATCATACAACCATTAGAAATGGAGTTGTTCATTCTTTTTATCATCATTTAAAGATCATTTCTTTACATAATTATTCAATTTGGAGATCATTTAGTCAGGATGCTGCTTATGAATGACTAAAAGATCTCCGAATTGAATGACCTTTTGCATAGATGATCTTTAGATAATGATAAAGAGAATGAACAATTCTGATTATGATATTTGTACGATAAAGATACGTTAGTCATAATGAGAGGACAAAGTGGATTCTCTCAAAGAGAACACAAGTGTTATCCATCTTAATTAAATAGAGTGCATGTTAGTAGTACAGCCTCCATTTCAATTTCCCGGTTACTTGCCTTTGACATTTCATTTTCCTTTATGTTATGTGCCTAATAGTCTACCGTTTACTGTTTTCCATTTTTAGGGGGTTAATGATGCAATTAAGATGGACCATCTCCAAGAGATGCTGTAAAACAATTACAATTCTATTTTAGAGAGTCAAATTCAAAATAAGCATTCTTGTCCAAAAAAGAGTTAAATTTAAAAAATTCAAAATGATCAGTCACTCTTTAAATTTACAAAGCGACTATTTATCAGCTAAACATTAAAAAAAGGAAAATGCGAGAGACTAAATTTGTAAACTAAATTTTATAAACCAAATGATGTAATTATTAATGATTGAATTATTACTTAAATATTGATAACTTTCTTATTAATAGTGGTAAATGTCCTTAACCCCCTTGTCTATTCTCATTGATCTAAAAACAAAAGGTATGCTCCTACAGCATTGTTTAAAAATCATCTCCTCTGCTCCTTCTAAGTACTTAATGAAAGGTTTGGTTTTTCTCCTAATCCATTATCTCCTAATCTGACCTAGTCCTTTAATATCAACCCTTCACAAAAATCCAATGGTTGCAATTAAATATGAATCTTTTTTCATAAAACATTGACATTTTTACATTTCCTATACCAATTTTTAATAAATTGTTTTTTTTATTTCTCTTTTTTCTGTTGTTCCATTTTCTCTCTTCCCCCTCACCATAAAACACAGGCATATGGGGTGTGCAATTTATTATGACAAAAGTAAATCTCTTATCTCTCTCCCTTTTCCTCTTCATCCATGAGCATGGCTGCATGAGTGTCAATGCTATGGGTACCATTGCAGACTCAGTCCCACAATAAAAAGGAACAACTTCTCAAACCATTTAAGGATTTAATGTGTATGGGTTTATACCAAAAATTGATCAATATTAGACCATAGTTCAGGGTTTAATTTTAAAATGTAACATGAAAAGTGCAATCCCCATGCATATGGATGAAGAAGAAGAGAGAGAGAGAGAGAGAGAGAGAGAGAGAGAGAGAGAGAGAGAGAGAGAGAGAAGAGAGAGAGAGAGAGAGAGAGAGAGAGAGAGAAGAGAGAGAGAGAGAGAGAGAGAGAGAGAGAGAGAGAGAGAGAGAGAGAGAGAGAGAGAGAGAGAGAGAGAGAGAGAGAGAGAAATATGATTTTGTTTGTTTGTTTGTTGAATAAGATATTTTTATTAAACACATGTCGACTTGTAAATTTCGTTGCATGCAAATAATGCTTCACAAAGCTCCACGTGGCATATGACTCATCACAAATAGACAAGTCATCAATGACATGTGGCACAAATCAAGCAAATGAAGAATAAAACTTCCCCAAAACTCGACAAAAGGGGGAAGAAATCCTTTTAAATCGGCAAGGGGCCCAACTTGCTCCCAAAACCGAAAAGAAAGCTAAAGCATCTTCACAAAACAAGCAAGAATTGAAGATTGCTCACAAAATAGGCAAGAAAGCCTTATAATTCGGCCAAGCAAGGGAAAGTGGCTGAAATTAAGTCACAAAACACACCTAAATTCTCCCATGGACGAATCAAGACACAAATCAAAGCCAAATCCATCCAAAGGCATGCTTTTGAGACATCTATAAATACAAGGTCTTTAGACAAGCATAAGGTTGGCAATTTCTAAATTCAAGGTCGACAATTTCTACATTAAAGGGCCGAAATTCTCACAAAAGGACAACCTCTGCCAAATATTTGAAGACAAATACGCTGCTAAAGATCTCTTCGAAGAACGCATAACCCAAGCTGAAGCTTTCTTTCGACGAAAGTTGAAGCATTCCCTTGAAGAATCAACAATCACTTGTGCTGATTCTTTCAAGACTTTGCTGCAAGCTCAAAACTTGTAACAACGTTTGATTCAAGATCAAGTCGTCAAGACCATTGAAGCAACAATATCCCACATCAACATCACCTTTGCCGCAACTTTGAGGTGAAGACCATCCAAGCATTGTTTCAAGCTCAAAACTTGAAGTAATCGTTCAATCGTTCGTCTGAGATCAAGTCTTCGCTACCTTTGTATTAACAACCTACGCATTTACATCAAATTTGAAGACTAAATCAGAGGAAAATTGTAAACAGAGATTGTAACCTACAAATTTATCAATACAAATCTACTTTGTACACATGTTCTCGTTTCATTCGTTACAGAATTTTCATGTTTACAAATTTTGCACGCCCAGTGGGACTTCTCTGCCTCACATCTCTGTCTTCAAATCCACAAGAAACACACGTGGCATCAAAAAAGGATCAAGCTGTTTTTCAACCAACATGAAGAACAAGAACATCCTTGCCGTAAGTGGTGGCACTTTGAACGTCACAACCTGAAGCAAGGCAAGAGGTTTCTCTGCTATGCTTTCCCCCTCTACATCAAATTTACTGAAGGAGCAAGAGCACTCAAGGCACGAGCCCGTAATTACCATGGCCTCGTTAAGGGCGCCAAGGGAAGAAAGCCTGAGAAGGTACTCCGAGTCGTTGACTTTCGATGCCAATTCGAGTAGCAGCTTGTATCTTGTAACCATGCAAGTCATGACAACTAGTGTGACTTCAGTCGAAGAGCAGCTGCCACAAATGAGCGAAGCAATCGCAAGGCTCACAAGGACCGTGGAGGAAAATGACTTGTAGATTGGTACACTCGTCAACCGTCTGGAGGTGTAGCATGACGAGAAAGCTGACCGGAAGGTTGATCCACCAAGGGAGAAAACTAACGAAAATAAGGAGCCTCTGTTGGAGAAAGCTGAAGAAAAGCTGGAGGTGGACCGAGCTACCACGCTCATGGGGTATTTCTTTATCCAACAACTGTAAGAGATGATCATAAGCACCATGAAGGCATAGTACGAAAGGAGCTCACATGACTCTGTGCCGTAATCAAAGCCTTACTCCAAGAAGATTGATGCCTTGAGGATGCCAATGGGTTATCAGCCGCCCAAATTCATGCAATTTGATGGAAAGGATAATCCTAAGCAACATATTGCCCATTTCTTTGAAACTTGCAACAATGCTGGGATGGAGGGAAACTACCTTGTCAAACAGTTCGTGCGCTCGCTAAAAGGTAATGCCTTTGACTGGTACACTGACCTTGAGCCTGAGTCCATTAACATCTGGGACTAGCTTGAACAAGAATTCCTCAACCGCTTCTACAACACCCGCCGCACCGTAAGCATGCTGGAGCTGACAAGTATGAAACAGTGGAAGGATGAACCTGTTGTCAACTACATCAATAGATAGCGTTCATTAAGTCTAGATTGCAAAGATTGGCTTTCTAAAACCTCCGCCATTGAGATGTGCGTTTAAGGCATGCATTGGGGTTACATTACATCCTCAAAGGCATAAAGCTGAGAACATTTGAGGAGATGGAAACTCGATCCCATGATATGGAGTTGAGTATTGCCAATTATGAGAAGAAGAAGCCGATCACCGACTTAAAAAAGGATAAGGTGTTCGCCCCAAAGGTAGACAAGACTGAGAAAAAGCCCATCAATGAAGCTTTTGCTGTATATACTACCCCCATCAAGACCTCATCCGCTCCTGTCAAGATCTCATCCAAAAACAAAACGAAGGAGATGAAGAGAGGTGAGCCTTTTCGTACCTAAGATAGGTACAAAAACACCTTGAGGGAACTAGAGCAGAAGACGTACCCTTTTCCTGACTCTAATGTGGCTGCACTGCTAGATGACTTACTGGAAAAGAAGGTGATTAAGTTACATGAATGCAAGCACCCCGAAGAGATGAATCGCGTTAACGATCTTAGGTATTGCAAGTATCATTGTATCGTGAGTCATCCTGTTGGTAAGTGCTTCATCCTCAAGGAGCTCATCATAAAGCTATCACAACAAGGGCAAATCGAACTTGACCTTGAAGACACGGTTGTAACACATACTACTACGTTTGCATTTGGATCATTCGATCCCGTGTTTCTCCAAGTGACGCATGACCACTCCTGTCCATGCTTAAGCTACATGGCACATTCTACACAACTATAGCTGGGGGCAAGAGACGAAAATGCACCTATGGACAATGAAGAAGGGTGGACACTGGCGACCTACAAAAAGACAAGGAAACCAAGACCATAAGCCACACGGCCAAAGGTGAAACAAGGGAGAAAGCACTACCGCCGTAATAATAGGAAGCTCAAAAAAAGTGTAAGAGCTGTTAAGCCAACGTATGTAGGGGAACATATGGAGCAAGAGCCACGCATTCCCGTCTCCTTGCATGAGTACTTCCTAAATGACTTCTTCCAAAAGTGCACTACTGCTGCCTGTCACATGGTTGAAGTGGAGATAGAAGAGCCCTCAAAAGGCAAAGTTATCACCATCAAGGAAGAGAAGACCCTGATGCCCAAAGAAAGTCTGCCGACACATTTTAGACCCCGACTACCATGAAGTGCAAGAAAGCAAGGATGAAGGCTTAAAGATTCGATAACACGAATATGTCGCATGTTGTGCCGCCCATAACGCAATCAACTTCACTGACGAAGACTAGCTGCTAGGATCAAAGCCTTACAACCGTCATCTCTTCGTCTTTAGGTACGTGAGAGAGAAGAAAATCAAC